CCAACAGCGTCTGGCTATACTATAATAATGCGAAGCTTTTCAATAGATATGCGTCACACAATGCTGTACAGTACTGCATGTGAATAAAACTCTGATTTAAATGAAGATAAGTTTATAAAATCCTCTAAAACGTACCTATTTTGTTGCATAGTTGCAAATTACGTGACAAGGGCGCCATGACCGGTGCATGCCACACAAATATTTTGTGTTATCAATACTTTTCAGTCAGATGTTATTTTTTGCAATTGACATTTTAAACAGATTGGTGTTCGTCTAGCTAATTTTATGGGTATCCAACGAGTATAATTCTACAGTAGTTAAATCTCGATATCAAAAATGCTTGGACTAAATTCAAATCATGGACTTTATCAAACAAGGTGCAAATATTACCAATGCGCGACATAAGCTGAATAACAAAAAAAAGCCCATTTCAGTCTTGTTGCCGGGGTTATAACACACAACGTGATTATTTGAAGGAGATGGATTATCATATATGGCACACAGCTAAAAATCCTCGAAATGAGACATATAATATACATCATCACAAGTAGAAATATCTGCAGCTGTGTGTAAACAGAAATATGATCGGGGCCAGGATAAAGCCCAATGGCACATCGGATAAAATTGAGATGGGAGTGATGATACTGGCAGGGCTGCAATAGATACTACACTGCATGAATTCCTATGGTAGGGTGCAATATATATATATATATATATATATATATATATATATATATATATATATATATCCACTGGCAGGGCTGCAATAGATACTACAATGCATGAATTCCACTGACAGGGCTGCAATAGATACTACAATGCATGAATTCCACTGACAGGGCTGCAATAGATACTACAATGCATGAATTCCACTGACAGGGCTGCAATAGATACTACAATGCATGAATTCCACTGACAGGGCTGCAATAGATACTACATTGCATGAATTTCACTGACAAGGCTGAAATATATACTACAATCGACGAATTCCACTGGCAGGGCTGCAATAGATACTACAATGCATGAATTCCACTGACACGGCTGCAATATATAATACAATCCATGAATTCCACTGGCAGGGCTGCAATAGATACTAAAATGCATGAATTCCACTGGCAGGGCTGCAATAGATACTACAATGCATGAATTCCACTGGCAGGGCTGCAATAGATACCACAATGCATGAATTCCACTGAAAGGGCTGCAATAGATACTACAATACATGAATTCAACTGGCAGGGTTGCAATAGATACTATAATGCATGAATTCCACTGAAAGGG